TGCTAGTCATAGGCGTGTGCTGTGGAACGTTTTAAAATTGGTTAGACTAGAATATAGACAATACATGGTTGGTTTTTAGCATGCATTGACTGAATTAAATGAGTCCATTTATTAAGGTAGATTTTGTTTTCCCCCTAAGTGTCTAATGAATGTACAGTTATGTGTCAAAACATTTAATTATGAGCTAATTTATTTTTATTTTTGAGATAATTTTGCTTTATATCTTGGGCCAGCCTAAACTTTCTGTGGAGTCTATATTGGCTTTGAATTCTTGATTCTTCTGCCATAGCTTCCCCACCATTTTTTATCTATCTATCTATCTATCTATCTATCTATCTATCTATCTATCTATCTATCTATCTTATCTATATAAAAACACACCATGCATGCTTGCTTGCTTATTTATTTATTTATTTATTTAGGGTCTCATGTGGTCCTGGCTGGCCTGAAACTCTGTATATCCAAGGATGACCTTGAATTCCCTGTCCTCCTTCCTCTATGGGCCAACACTATTGACTTTGTTTTGAGGCAGGGCCTTAGATAGAAAGAAGCCTGGTTGTCCTGGAAACCACCATATAGTTCCTGTAAGCCTTGAACTCTTGATAATCCTACCCCAGCTTCCACAATGAAGGGATTACAGGCATGTATCATCACTCCTGGTTTGCTAATATTTTCATTTTCGCTAATAATTTTAACCTTTAAAAGTTTTTTGTGTGTGCATGAGTGGGTGTCTTCTGTATGTGTTCATGGAGACCAGAGAAAGCTATCTCTCCCTCTCTGCCTATTGCTTTTGACAGGGTCTCTCTGAACCCAAAGCTTATGGTTTCATTAGAAAGGCTGACTGACTAGCTAGGAAGCTCCCAGAACTGCCTCCCTCTGCCCATGCTGGAACTACAGGCATTTGTGGCTGGCTGGCTAGCCCATGTGCTCTCTGCTCTCTTTCTGTCTTTGGTGGTCTCTCTCTGTCTTCTTTGACAGGTCACGTGTAGACCAGGCTGACCTGGAACTCACAGAGTTCTACCTGCTTCTGCCTCCTCAGGGTTGGGATTAAAGATGTGAGCCATCAAGCCTAGTGTTTTGTGGCTTTTAGATTGGGTCTTTTTATGTAGTCTTGGCTTACTCAGAACTTGGTATGCAGATCAGACTGGCCTTGAACTCACAGATCTATCTTCCTGCCTCTGCCTTCCTCCAGTACCATCATGCCCCCCCCCCCTTTTAATTGGGTGCTGGGGATTCCAACTCAAGTCCTCTATAATCTTTAAATTTTAAAAATTATTCTTTATTTATGTGTATGTGTGTGTGAGTTTTTGTGTACCACATGAACGCAGGTGCCCATGAAAGCCAGAAGAGAATATTTGATCCCTTGGACTGTCGTCAGAGGCAGTTGTGAGCCACCTCATGGGATGCCAGAACTGAACCCAGGTCCTCTGTAAGATCAGTAAGGGCTCTTAGCACTGAGCCTCTCCAGCCCCTAGAACCTTTAGAATGTTTAAAATGATTTTTATTTGCTTTAAATTATGGTAACATTCTTAATTTGCTTCAAGTTATTTTAAGATTTGAGAGTGTATGTGTGTGTTGAGGCCAGAGTGCTAACTTCCGTTGTGATCCTCAGTCACTTTCTCCCGTCCTTTTTGAGACAGAGTCTGTCATTAAACCTGGAATGCCTGGCCACCAGTCTACAGAGATCTTCATGTTACTGTCCCTAGCACATGCACACTTATAAGCAGTGTGCACAGTTTTATTACACGGGAACTGGGGATCTGAACTCACTCTGTGATGATTTCATGACAAGCACTTTATCAAGTGAACCATCTCCCTAGCTCTTACATTTTTATTAGTAAATATTAATTGTACATAATAATGTGTTTCTTGATGACATTTTCGTACATGTATAATGTATTTCCCTATTCGCCTTCCATCCACTCTAATTCCCAAGTAGCCCCCCTCTACTTTCATACCTTCAGTTTTCAGTCGTATTCTTTGTGTGTGTGTGTGAGATGAGTTTCATTAGGGTTGTTTACTGGTTGGGGACACCTTTAACAGTTGTTATACTACTGAGATAATGATGTCTCTTCACCCAACAACTGCCTGTAGACTTGGGGCTTGGTTGAGGAAGAATCTTGGAAGCCTTCACCATGACAGACCCAGTATGCTTTGAGTTTAAGAGAGCAGTGGCCATATCATGCCCAGGACAGTGTCCCACAACAGTCTACTCCTTCCTCCAGTTCTTAGATCCTAGAACTCAGAGATCCACCTGCCTCTTCCTTCTGAGTATTGTGATTAAAGGTGTGCGCTACCACCCCCTGGCTAGTTGTTATGATTCTTTTTGTTCCCTCTTCCATGAAGTTTTCTCAGCATTGGGGGAGATACGGAGAGATGCCCACTTATGGCACTGGAGGGAGGATAGAGGTGTTCACTTATGGCACTGGAGGGAGGATAGAGGTATCCACTTATGGCACTGGAGGGTCTATATAGATAGATGTCCATTTATGGCTGAACATTCAGTTTATTCTTATCACTTAGGGGTCTCTGCCATTACTCCTGCGTGTTGCAATTGTTTTGTTTTGTTTTTTTACTTGTTCTTTTTGTTTTTTTACTATATGTGTTCCCTCATCCCCCAACTCATTTTTGAGATGGAGTCTTACATAGCTCAGACTGGCTTTGAACTATCTGTGTAGCTGAAGATTATTTTGAACTCCTGGTCGTCTGCCCTCCACCTTCCAAGTGCTGGGATTATGTCATGTACCACCATGCCTGAATTGTTTGTTTTTTTGAGACAGGGTCTTGCTGTGTAGCCCCAGCTGGCCTGGTATTTGATCTAGATTACGCTGGCTTTCCAACTTGAGGCAGTCTCTTGTCTCAGCCTCTTCTGTATAGGGATTTTAGATGTTCACTACCACACATGGCTTAATATATGCATTATATCCATAAATGTGCTTCCTTCCTTAATCTCCCCTCTTCCCCCAACACACAGGGTTTCTTCATGTAGCCTTGGCTGTCCTAGAACTAGCTCTGTAGACCAGGCTGGCCTTGAATTTACAGAGATCCGCCTGCCTCTGCCTCCCTGAGTGCTGGGATCAAAGGTATGTGCCACCACCAAGTGGCCCTTCCTTAAGTTTAGAAAAGTTAATTATTTTAGGTAGATGAGTGTTCTGCCTGTACACCACATTCCCGTACTGGCTTGAGGAGGCCCGAAGAGGGCATCGGGTCCTTTGGAATTGGAATCACAGCCAGTTGTGAGCCACCATGTGGGTGCTGGGAATCTGACCTGGGTCCTCTGAAAGAGCAGCCAGTACTCTTAACGACTAAGTCATTTTCTCCATCCTTCTTTCTCCCTGTTTTGAGGGGTAGGTAGGAAGGGAGGGAGGGAATTGAAACAGGGTTTCACACTGTAGTCCTGGCTGGCCTGGAATTCACTTTGTAGCCCAGGCTGGCCTTGAACTTGAACAGTGGTTCTCCTGCCTTAGCCTCCTGAGTTCTGGGATTACAGACATGAGCTACCTAGCCACTTTTCATTTTCTTAAGCTTTAATCACATGGTGTTATACACTGCATTCTTAGAGTTTTCTTTTTTTCCCCAACCTCCGCTAACTTTTGTTAGTTAGTAAAGGTTTATAATAGGTCATTGGCTTAATAACACTCCCCCCTCCCCTGCATTTTAGCCTAGAGACATTGGTTGAGGAACAGTTCTATGCCAGAAACTGTGCTGCTTATTAAAGATACATAGGAGCCATGTCTGGGCACAGGCCTGTAATTCCAGCTATGGAGGAGTCTGAGGTAGGAAGATTGCAAGTTCAAGGTCAGTCAGTAACATTTAATGAACATGAAAAGTATAAAAAAGGCCAGAAATACAGCTCAATGGTAGAGTGTTTCCCTAGCATATGTAAGACCCTAGGTTCATTCCAGTACTGACAAGGAAAAGGAAGGTGTGGGATATGTAAGTAAACCTTGCTGCTTCAGATAGAAGGGGATTCGAGACCATTGCAAGGTGCTCCACAGAAATATTCCCGGTTAATCACACCTTTAATCCCAGCACTTGATGGAGGAGGCAGGCAGGTCTCTGAGTTCCAGGACGGCTAGGACACGGACACACACACACAGACACACACACAGACACAGACACAGACACAGACACACACACACACACACACACACACACACACACACCAACCCTGTATTGAAAAACAAACTGCAAACAAACAAACAACAACAAGAAAACATTGAATGACTCCCAGGGCTCTGTACATGCCTGCTGTTCCATTTCATTCAGTTCTGCATAGAAACATTTACAGTTTTAATTAGTTTTGTGTGTTTGGGCAGCTGCCTGCACCATGTGCATGTGGTACTCACAGAGGCCAGAAGAGGGCACTGGGTCCTCGAGGACTAGACGGTTGTGAGCTGCCATGTTGGTGCTTGGAATAGAACCCAGGACCTCTGGAAGAGCAGTTGTTGCTGTTAACCATTGAGCATCTCTCCAACCCCTAGATACATTCTTTTTGATGGGAGTCATATTTCTATTTAGAAATTTAAAACTTTATTTGTAATTGGAATAGTAATTTATGCTGTTTGTTTAAAATAATATTATGGAGTTAGAAATTGCTTACTAATAATGCTAGCTCTTCAAAAATTTGATTTAGTTTTTTTTATGTTTGGACATATTTTTCCAGTGCAACTTTTAGGGGTATTATCTCACAATTGTAAACAAACAAACAAAAAAAGGTGATGAACTTTTCTTTCCAGTTAAATAATCCATGAAAGATTAATGAGAAATGTATTTGAGGGATTTGTGGTTGCAAAAAAAATAATGTATAGTTCAATTAAATACAATCTTGGGATCTATTTAAGAATATTGGCTAAGATTATTTTGCTGGTAATCACATTGTAAAGTCTTTCTCCTACTCTCGTGTAAGCTTTGGATCTTTATTAAGATTGATGTTTATAGTAGCATTACTATATCCTTGTAACTTTGTATGTGCTTTAACCATGAGTTTACTTTTATAGGATTTCTATAATTGGCCTGATGAATCATTTGATGAAATGGACAGTACACTTGCTGTTCAACAGGTAATAACAATTTCTTTTACAACCCTCATAACAAGCATTCTATATCTTTAGTGTATTAAATAGTCCCATTTTATGTGTGTGGGGAGCACAAACCAGATTCCCCTGGGTTAATGGAATGTTCGTTTAACATTGTAATCAAACCTTATTTTATTTTAGTATGTTATGGAATTTGAATGTATAATGAATTAAAAATTAAAATTAATTGAATGACAAATTTAGAATAACTAAATAGAAATAAAATGCTAATTTGGTGACTAAATCTTTGATAACATGCTTTTGAGAGTTATGTCTTTATAATGATTTTAGTTCATAACTCACACCCTCAGTACATGTGAAAACTGAGATGCTTCCCTTTAGCTCATTACTGCTATCACATAATTCACTACAGACAGCACTGGATTTCCAAGGAGGGCTTCCATAGCATGGCGTGTGTGTGAGACAGCATATTAGGAGGTTGTCAGACACAGTGCTGAGAATCACGTAATACACTGTGTTAGGTTCAACGCTCCAACCCCAGTGAAAAAATGGTGGTGCTTTCCTATTGAACAGAGTCAGGAACTTGGTGAAAGTAATAATACTCATGGTTAATTGTTAAAGATCGAAATAAGGTGTGTTACTTTTGTTTATGCTGCATTTGTGAAGTGAACTCTGTGAAGCTGTGTTACTGTGCCTGTCTAAAACACTTGATTGTCTAATAAAGATCTGAACGGCCAGTAGTGAGGCAGGAGAAAGGATAGGTGGGGCTGGCAGGCAGAGAGGATAAATAGAAGGAGAAATCTGGGAGGAGAGATATAGAGCCCGAGAAGGAGGAGGACCCAGGGGCAGCCACCCAGCTACACAGCAAGCAATGGAGTAAGACACAAATAAAGATATACAGGAATAGAAAAGGAAAAGCCCAGGAGCCAAAGAGAGACAAGATAATTTAAGTTAAGGAAAGCTGGCAAGAAATAAGTCAGGCTAAGGTTGAGCATTTATTATTATTATTATTATTATTATTATTATTATTATTAAAAGATTTATTTATTTATTATGGATACAGTATTCTACCTGCATGTACACCTGCAGGCCAGAAGAGGGCACCAGATCTCATTACAGATGGTTGTGAGCCACCATGCGGTTGCTGGGAATTGAACTCAGGACCTCTGGAAGAGCAGTCAGTGCTCTTAACCTCTGAGTCATCTCTCCAGCCCGGCTGAGCATTTATAATTAAGAATGAGTTTCCATGTGTGATTTATTTGGAAGCTGGGTGGCGGCCCCCCAAAAAAGAGCAAAAACAAACCACAACAATATTGAGGGGTTAATTGTTTTGTGTTTGCCTGGTACAAGTTCAAGCCAGTCAGTACTCTAGCATGGAGTGGGAAGGGGTTCATGAGCACCCTACCCCTAACTTAAGTGTTATTGATAATTGATAGCTTCTAGGGAAGAAAAGTTAGTTTTCTTTAAGGCTGTAGTTTTCTTTAAGGCTGTGGCTTCAGGTAGTTCAGCCAGTATCCAGTGAATGGCCCTATACCCAGAAGTATATGGACTGCACAAATTGGAGTTAATGGGTTATTAAATTAAAAAGAGGCCATGAAGTGGGGGGTGTAAGGAGGTGGGTTGTATCTGGGAAGAGTTGGGGTGAATAAAATCAAAACATACTGTATGAAGTTCTCAGTTAATAAAATAAATAATAAAAGAATGGCAGAAATTGGGATATAGAGGAGGAAGAGGTGTGGCTCAGGGGTAGAGCACTTGGGTCGTATGCCTGAGGAACTATTTGATTCCCTAGCACTGCAGTAAAAACAGAAAAAGATGTGTGTAAAGTCACAGCAACAAAACCCAAAGAGGTTGGTGTAAAATAGTAGATTAGATTAGGTATGGGGTAAGTAACATTTTTATTGTACTATTTTTTAGGGGCCTGGGTAGGTCACTGTGTTGGGTTGAAACCCAGGGCCTCACACATGCTAAGTAAGCACTCTCTACTGAGCTGTGCCCAGACTTCTAGCTAACCTCCTCACATCATCATAGCTGAAGTAAATGTCTTGTAACCAACGTAGAATCAGGTCATTTTTATTTTACTCGTCTCTGTCTACTTCTCTATTACGTTATATAAGATTATTATAATAGACTTAGGTTAGTTTTTATTACTTGTTTTTGTTCTCTCTTTTAAAAATTTTAATTTATTTGTGTGTATGTGTTTGTGTGCCTGAGGGTGTGTGATTGTACGTTGTGTAGCAGCCTGCAGAGGTCTTAAGAGGACATTAGATCCCCTGGAAATGGGGTTATAGGCACTTGTCAGCCACATGGGGGTGCTGGGAACTGAACCATTCTTCTGCAAGAGCAGCCAGTGCTCTTAGCCACTGAGTCTACTCCCTAATGGGGCTGGAGTTGGGAACTAGGGGCCCTTTTTTGAGGTACGCTCTCACATTTGCCTGGCTGATCTCAAACTTGAAATATAGCCGAGGATGACCAACCCTCCACCTTCCTAGTACTAGCATTAGAGGTATGCAGCAACTCTGTCTGGTTTACATAGTGCTAGGTTCTGAACTGTTACATGCATGATGTTGTGTCTGTCTTTCTGTTCTAGTCAGTCCTTTGTTCCCTTTGAAGGGTTGTTGGAACATTTTAGCATTGTGTTTTAATTATAGTTTTGACTGTATCTATGATTTTTTGGTGATTGCAGAGATTACTAAAGTCTTATGTTACATAGTCTACTTAAGCAGAATCAGTATTTTGTTGTTAGAGTTGAAAGACCCTTACCATTTTACTTCCTCCTTGTTGCCTTATATAACTGTAGACAGTCATTGAAACCCAGTCAGACAGTGATATTTTCTTTTGGTAACACTGAACATTGAATTTAAGACCTCACAGATGCTAGGCCATTTCCCTACCGTTTAACTGTATATCCCTAACTCACTCTTTTTTAAAGATTATGATTTTACTGTGTGTGTATATGTGTGTGGGTAAAGGTAATGTAGGCCATGGTTCATGTATGGAGGTCAGAAGGACACATTTACACAGTTGGTTCTCCCCTTTGACCTTCTTTTGGTTTCAGGGATTGAACTCATGGTATAGATTTGTGAAGCAGGCACCTTTACCCAGGACCCATTTCACTGACACAGTGTGTCTTTTGTTTTGGCTTGTTGAGACAGTTTCATCCTGTAGCGTAGTCTGGCCTTGACTCCCAGGTGCTAGAATTGGGGGCATGAGGCACCATACCCAACTTCAGTGTTACTTTTGTTTTATTGAGATGAGATGTGTTCTCACTATGTAGTCCTTGCTGGTCTGGAGCTTACTGTGTAGACCAGGCTGATCTCAAACAAGACATCATCCTGCTCTGCCTTCTAAGTTCTGGATTAAAGGTTTTCACCACCCTGCCTTGTATTTCTGTTATTTCTGATGTTTCAAATTTCTGTCTTTCTCTCTCTGAAAAACTTTTTAGTGATTTTTTGTTTTAGCAGAGTTTGCTCTCTAGGGGTTCTCTTAGGTTTTTTTTTTTTTTTTTTTTTTTTTTGCTTGCTTGTTTGCCTTTTGATGTTGGGAGGGATCCAGAACTTTGTACATACCATCAAACACTGTGGCCTCAGCCTTTAGTTTTCTTTAATTTGAAAATATCTTTATTTGTATTTTGATAGATAGAGAATTCTGGGTTGACAGTTCTCTTAGTACTCCGTTCATTTTGTAAAATCACATTTATTGGGGGAGATGTGTGGGTACACGTGGAGGTCAGAGGATAGCTTGAAGGGTATTGTTTCTTTCTTTCCAACTTGTTGATCCTAGAGATCAGACTCAGTTTTGGCAGGTGGATGAGCCATCTTTCTGGTCCGCTTCTATAGTTTTTGATGAGGAAGAAGTGGCTAATTGAATCCTATAGGTCATGTGTCTTTTTTCCTTTAGTTTTTCTATTACTCAACATTGCCACAATGAAATGCTTCAGAGTCTAAAAGGTTTATTTAGGTCATAATTCTGGAGGTCTTACTTTATTTTTTATTTTTTTCTCCAGACAGCTTTTCTCTGTGTAGTCCTCACTGTCCTGAAGCTCAATTTGTAGACTAAGTTGGCCTCGAACTCACAGAGATCCACCTGCCTCTGCCTCCCGAGTGCTGGGATCAAAGGCGTGCGCCTCCACCGCCCGGGGGTTCTGCAGGTTTGAGTCTGAGATTGGAGGGTCCTGTTGCTTTGTGCCTCAGTGAAGGTGTTGGATGACAGCTGGGTCACCAAACCACTCGGTTTCTTCTTCTTCTTTTTTCTTTCCAGAGCTGAGGACCGAACCCAGGGCCTTGCACTTGCTAGGCAAGCACTCTACCTCTGAGCTAAATCCCCAACCCCACCACTCAGTTTCTTGGGGACATTATTCCTATTCAAGCCAGAAGAGAATTTACCCCCACATGGAAAGAGTGCTTTTTTCACTCCTGTGCCAGAACTGGAAATAGTCCTTAGACTAGTGGTTCTCAGCCTTCCTTATACTGTGTGTGACCCTTTAATAGAGTTCCTCATGTGTGGTGACTCCAAACTATAAAACTTCATAACTACAATTTTGCTACTGGTATGAATTATAATGTAAATATTTGTGTTTTCTGACAGTCTCAAGTGACCCCTCTGAAAGGGTCATTCAACCTCCAAAGGGGTCACGACCCACAGGTTGAGAACTGCTGTCTTAGACTGATTTCAGCATCGTAGTATTCCCTTTGGGGTTTGTCAGTTTTTGGGGAGGGATGCTGGAAAGAGCAGTCATTGGCAAGCTTACTGCAGCTCAGTGGTGCTCTGTTCCTTCTGCTCTTCATGTTTCAGAGAACTCAGATGCAGAGCCAGTTAGTCTGTCCAGTTAATTTTCATTCAGTGGGAGAAGGTGGTACGCCTTCATTCCATCGTCACCCAACTGGAAACAGTAAAAATAATTTTGTCTGAGTTAGATTATGTGCTTAGTGGCCTCATTACTTCTAAAAACTGCTTTAGAAATTCTCACATAGAGTATAGGTCATTATAATTATAGCTCGAGGGTTAAATATAACAAGAAGAAAGATGTTCTGCCTTTAAAAAAAAAGACAAAACTCCATTTGATTTCCTACCAAATTTGTCATTTATATACCCTAAATTACTACCTAAATACTAAGTAACCTACTCATTCTTATCCTAAATTACTACGTAAATAAATAATACCCAAACTACTACCTGAATAAAATTATTACCTAAATACTACCTAACTGACCTACTCATTACCCCTTTTTCTACTGTGTTTTTAAAAATCTGTATTGGTGTTTTGCCTGTGTGTATGTGAGAGTGGAACTGAAGTTACAGATAGTTGTGAGCTGCCACGTGGGTACTGGGAATTTAACCTGGGTCCTTTGAAAAAGCAGACAGTGCTCTTAACCACATCTCCCTGCTCCCACTACATCATTTAAAGAGCTCTCAATAGAGACTGGAAAGATGACTCAGTGGTTAAGACCACTTAATGGCCAGGCGGTGGTGGCGCACGCCTTTAATCCCAGCACTCGGGAGGCAGAGGCAGGTGGATCTATGTGAGTTTGAAGCCAGAGTGAGATCTACAGAGTGAGATCCAGAACAGGCTCCAAAGCTAGTTTCGAAAAAACTAAAAAAAAAGAAAAAAAGAAAAAAAAGAAAAGACCATTTACTGCTCTTGTAGGGGGACCCAGGTTAGGTTCCCAGGACCCATGTGTGAGCTCACAACCACCTGTAATTCAGTTCCTGGGTATCTATGACACTGGCTTCCAAGAGCCCCTCCACACATATGGTTTGTATAAATTAGGCACATACACATGAAAATAATTTTTAAAAAATCCAAAACTCTTGGTGCTGGAGAGATTGCTCAGTAGTCAAGAGCACTTGCTGCTCTTGCAGAGGACCTGGGTTCAGTTTCCAGCACCCACATGTCGCAACAGTCTGAAAGTACGGTTCCAGGGGATTGGATGCTGTCTTCTGACCTCAGGGTATCCGGCATCTCAGGAGGTGGAGGCAGGGAGAAACTGTCTCAAAACAGATTAATAGGGCAGGTGAGATGACTCACTGGGTAAAGGCACTTGTCATCGAGCCTGCCTGGTGGTGGTGGAAGTAGAGACTGACTCCCACAGATTGTCCTCTGACCTCCACATACCCATGGTACATTAGTAAATGGGAAAAATGTAAAGATCCCCAGCAGTTTTCTTTGCTCATTCATAAGAAGCAAAACTCATCTCTAATCATGATGTTGTAGCAGTCCAGTCACATCTTCAGGTCCTTGTAGCAGGAATCTTACAAAGTTCTTATCAATAAAATCAAACCTGAGGCCAGGTATTGGGGTGAACTGGAAGATCAGAGAACGAGAACAAGCCACAGCTACCTCACCTCGCCACATCCTCAGCTGGTCTTGTTTCCTCAGACTGGAAGCTTCTGTGTCCTCATCCAGAATGGCTCTCAGCTGAACTGTGCTGCTCGAAAGCCTGAAGCTTAACCAGCTAAAAGCTTAACCAGGCCAAATGCTTCTAGTTTCTGGTCCTTACGCCTTATATACCTTTCTGCTTTCTATCACCACTCCCTGGGATTGAAGGCTCGCTTTCTTGAAATTAAAGGCTTTCTTGAGATGCTTGGCTGTATCCTTGAACAGATGGATTTCTGCCTCTGGAATGCTAGGATTAAAGGCGTGTGCTATCACTGCCTATCTTAAGTATCTAATGGCTTTTCTGTTCTCTGACACCAGATAAGTTTATTAAGGTACACAATATTTTGGGGAACACACTACCACCACATCCTGCTTTTTTTTGGGGGGGGGGGTAAGGGTCTCACTGTAGCCTAGGCTGTCTTCAAACTTGATACACAGCTGAGGAAGATCTTGAGCTTCTGATCCTCCTGACTCTACCTCCAGGGTACTAGGTTTACATGTGTATACCATCATGCCTGGCTGTGATGACTGTTTTTGTCTTGATACTAAGAATAGTGGTTTTATTGATTGCAGATAAATTTCTTATATTAATTACATAGTATTAATATAATAAACTTTAAGAATTAGTAACAAATGACTTTGTGGCTTACCAAGAATAATCAACGTTTTGGTAGCATATTTAATGAGTATTAAATCCTGGGGTTGGAGAGCTGGCTTAGAGGTTAAGAGTTGCTGTTCTTGCAGATGATCAGAGTGCAGTTTCCAGGACCCACATCAGGTAGCTCAACCACCTGCTGTAACTCTAGTTCCAGGGAACCTGATACTCTCTTCAGCCCCCTCAGTCACTGTCCTAACTATAGTTACTGTTGCAGTGATGAAACACCGTATTCAGAAGTTGGGGAGGAAAGGGTTTATTTGGCTTATGCTTCCATATCTGTAGTACATCACCGAAGAAGGAAATCAGGACAGGAACTCAACCAGGGCAGGAACCTGGAGGCAGGAGCTGATGCAGAGGCCATGGAGGGGAGCTGCTTTCATAAGGCTTGCTCCTAATGGCTTGCTCAGCCTGCTTTCTTACAGAACCCAGGACCACCAGCCCAAGGGTGGCACCACCCACAATGGGCTGGGCCCTCCCCATCAATCACTGATTAAGAAAATACCCTACAAATTTGCTGACAACCTGATCTTATGGAGGCATTTTCTCAATTGAGGCTTCTTCTCTGAAGACTCTAGGGTATATCAAGTCGAGGTAAAACTAGCCATCACCTACTGTATTAGTCAAGGTTTTCCAAAGAACAGACTGGTAGAATGAACATATATAGATATATATTTAAATAGAGATGCATTAGAATGCTATAGGCTGTGGTCGTGTACTCTAGAACGGCCTTAGATGTGCAAGCATCCTACCACTGACTGCATGCCCAGCTTATTTTACTGCTGTCACTGTGTAGTCACTTGGGCAGCATTGTAGTCCTTCAAGAGCTTTTCCTTCCATTCTTGGGGCTCCGACCAGCACAGGAGGCCTGACATCTAGTCTGCCTCAGCTTTCTCAAAAGATTTCCTCAGGAAACTCAGTAATTTCTAGCTTTAGATTTAAAAGTGATGGACCGTTGGCTCCTCTTTTACTTGAATAGTTAGAGGCTATTATTAATTGTTCCATTTTTAATATTGTTATCTTTTAGGGACCTGAGGAGAGGGAGATATAGGGGAATGGCTGGCCAATGAAATATTCAGAACATAAAACATTTGTTAATTTTAGTTGCCATCTTATATGAGCATAATTCATTGTGTCTCCCCAAACAATTAAAATAGTAACACCAAAAGATCATTGATCACAGGTCAGTGCAACAGACATAATAATGAAAAAATTTGAAATATGAGACTATGAAAACAGGATGCAGAGACAAGACGTAAAGTATATAACTACTGTTAGAGAAAGGATGCCAATACACTGTGAGGCTAGCCACATTCACTTGTTAGAACAGCAGCAGGAGCAGCAGCAGCAGCAATAAACCCACAGGACTGAAAAGTGTAATAATGTAAAGTACAATAAAATGAGTTATTCAGAATGTGTGTATTTAGGAATATATATGAATATACATGTATGTATATAACAACAATTAGTTAAAAAAAGAAGCCATGAAATTGAAAGAGATCAAGGAGGGGCATATGGGAGGGCTTAGAGGGTGGAAAGGGATGGGGGAAATGGTATAATTTTATTATAATATCAAAAAATAAAAAATAAATGTGTTATAAATATGTTGGTGGAGGGAGTGATTTGGAAAGAATTGTTATGTGTTATGTGGAATTTGAAGTGGTTCAGGATTAGTTGCATTTATTTGGGAACATCAAAACTTAAGATCATTAGGATGAGGTGGGGAAAAAAAATGTGAGAAAATTTCAGTCATCTTGTGCTTATATTAGAGTCTCTTGAGAGGCTGGGGTAGATGGGATGACTTGATTGCCAGACCAGTTTGGGCAACACAGTGAGAACCCGTTCCCTTCCCCGAAACCACCATAATACAAGAGGCTTAAATAGGAATTCAAGTCCAATGTTTTGGCACATGCCTATAATTCCATCACTAAGAAGGCCAAGAATTGATGTTTGAACTAGCCTTGGTGGTGCATGCCTTTAATTCCAGCACTCAAAAGGCAGAGGCAGACTGATCTCTGTGAATTGGAGGCCAGGGCAGCCAGAGAGCTACATAGTCTCAAAAAAACCAAAAATATTAGAAATATTTAGCATCCAGTAAAATTTAAGTAACCATAAGATTTCTTTCTTTATAGTATATTCAGCAGAATATAAGGGCAGACTGCTCCAATATTGACAAAATTCTTGAACCACCTGAAGGCCAAGATGAAGGTGTATGGAAGTATGAACATTTAAGGTAGGTCTTTATGAAATTTCAGAATAGTACTAACAGTTCTAGTAAGAATATACTAATAAGTACCTCCTAATGATAATTATGAGTCAAATTAAATTTGGGTAAAGCAGAATGCCAGGTTTTACAGCTTTTGTGTCTTTTGGTTATTTTGAGAAGAGGTCTTATGTAGTAGGTCACGCTTTCAATTCCTGATCCACCTGTCTCCACCTCCTAAATGCTGGGGTTGAGATAAGCATTATCAGAGCTAGCGTTGATCTCAAGCTCTCAGTTCTCCTGCATCAGCCTCCTGAGAACTAGACTAACAAGCGTGCAATTGATTAGAAAATACTGTTCACTGGGTAGGCGTCTCCATGACGGGTAAGGTGACCTGCTGACGTCCCACGCAACCCAAGTCAGAAGCTCATTTTTTTAAAAAAAAGGGGAACCTGTAGGGCCCTGGCCCCTGTTTTGGGTAACTGTTGCCTTGCTTGGGGACCTTGACCTTGATATCCTCCCTATGCTAATTCCTTGCCAGGTTTCACCCTCCTGAATGCTTAAGGGAAGTTCCTTGTCTGTGTATCCTGAATAATGGGTGTTAACAGCTTAGATGCAAGATTGTAAAACATCAGTAGTGAACTTCTGCCCTCTGGGGTCCTCCCATTGTGTTCTAAGCCTGTATTTAAGACCTCCTCCCCTCTTCAAGAAATGACATTAGGCATTTAAAATTTATATATATATATATAAAATTGAATGAATACTGCCAATGTAATATATGAATACCACAAATGTGATTAATATCATGAGTGTAATTAATGAATATCATGAGTGTAATTTAAAAAATAAATAAATAAATACATAAATACATAAATAAATAAATAAATAAATAAATAAATAAATAAATAAATAAATAAATGAAAATACTGTTCATTCTGACTTAGTCATAAGTTGATTCAAATCTCTGATAGCTCCTACTGAATCTTTGGGATTAGGAGATAAAGTGCCCCTTTGAAAGGCTGGATCCCATGGCGGGATGTGTGGATTTTAGCTCTGGATTGTCTGTTCACTGTATAGCTGTACCAGGCTTTTTCTTTTAGGTCACCAACCAGCTCCCAAGTCATGACATGGAGACTTCTTATGTTATGAATGCTCATTTCTTCCTAGCTCTTATAACTTAACCTGTTTCTTTTTATCTACGTTTTTTCTTGGGGTTTTTACCTTTCTTCTGTATGTCCTACTCCATGAGTAGACAGGCTGGCACCTGCCTGGCTAGCTGGCCTCAGACATCTTTTTCTCCCTTGTTCTCTCTCCTTTCCCTACCCCGCTCCTGAATTTCTCCTCCTCCTTATCTCTGCCCACCAGCTCCACCTTTCCCTCTCCTGCATAGATACTGGCTCTTCAGCTTTTTATTAGACCAATCAGGTGCCTTAGGCAGGCAAGGTGAAACAAATGCAACCCATCTTTACATAACTAACACATGCAGAACAAATAGAACACCTTTACATTGTTAACAAAGGCAGAAGAAACAAGTGTAACACATATTCACATAGTTAAAGTACTATTCCACACAAAACAAATGTAACATGTCTGCACAGTTAAAATATTATTCCACAACATGCAGCTCTGTAGTAGATGAACTTGAAGTTGCCATGTTATAACTGCAGCACTCACTGTCAGATGAGTTAGTTGGATAGGTAAGCCATTGCTTATCATCGCCAGCCTTTATTCTCTGTGAACAGTCACTCAGAATTGCATAAAATAGTTTACTGACCTGGAGCAATGGAGGTGGCAGGTGATTCAGAAATAGTTCCTCTGTTGTGGTGGTACTCCAGCATGTGGAAAGGAAGTAGATCACAGGAAAATGAAAGTTTATCCTTTGCCTTTTGTTTTCTTCTGTGCTGGCAAAGCCAGGTTTCTGTGAGTTTGAGGCCAGCTGGGACTACATAGTAGGAATCTATCTCAGCAAAGCAGTAAATGAAAGTGTACTTCAATAAATAGTGTCTTTAGTTAATTAGTTTCATATGTGTCCTTTTCCTTTTTATTTCTTTCTGGTACCTGTTTCATCTCCTAAACATAAGGCTTTTTTTAGTACTGTATTTTTGGGGGAACCAAGGTGTTTCTGTTTGATGAGGAAACAGGGTTATCTACCTTGATATAGTGGAATACATATCACTAGGCAGGATTTTTATCTTTTTTAAATTCTTTTTGTTGTTGTTGTTGCTGTTTTCAAGACAGGGTTTCTCTGTGTAGTCTTGGCTGTCCTGGATCACACTCTGTAGACCAGGCCAGCCTTGAATTTACAGAGATCCCCCTGCCTCTGCCTCCCAGTGCTGAGAATAAAGGTGTGCGCCACCGTGCCCCCCCCCCCCCCAGGTAGGATTTTTAGAGTGAACCCATTCAATATTTTAACAACTGTAAAATAAATTTATTTTTATTGCAAAGGATTGTCTTATATCACATGTCTGTCTAAAACTGTATGGCAGTCATTATAATTTCCTTTATTTTCACTCTATTAAAAACATTGAGAATTGGGCATAGTTGGCACATCATTAGTCCCAGAACTTGGGAAGTGAAGACAGGAGATGAAGAGCTCAAGGTCACCCTCAGCTATATCGAGTTTAAGGGCTATATGAGACGATCTCAAAAAGCATTGTTTTTTAAAAAGAGTACTTATTGGATTTCAGGCATTGTATAGACCTTATAATTTTTAGTTTCAGAGAAGAGAATATCATGAAAAAAATCACCAAATTCTAAGAAAAGTTAGGAAATTACATGGGCTGTGATCCTAGCATATGTTAATTTGTTCATGTAGAACAGTGTCTTTTTGGAGGAGGTATGAAATGGAGAATTTAAATTTTGTACACTGTGTCAGGTAGCTCTTGAGGCTCCTCTGCTCTTTCTGTGTTTGTTGTGCGGGGAGTTGAACTGAGGGCCTCGCACACACTAGGTTCACTAGTGCTCTACCTCTGAGTTACTGTCTCAGACCAGGTTTCATTCTTGCTGGGGCCACTGGACTGTTTATTTTCTGTGTAGTGGTGTATGTTCCCTTGTGGGTGTGTATACACACACACACACACACACACACACACACACACACACACACACGGAACCATCTATTGTTACCTTTTTTTGCATTCATGTGTGTATGCCTGTTTGCATGTTTATGTGTATTTGAGTTTGGATGTGCATATTCATGTGGAGAGCTGAAGTTGATATCAAGAATTTCTCTCCACCTTCTTTGTTGAGGCCGAGTCTCTCAATTGGACCTTGCTCAGGAGATCCCTTTGTCGTCCACCTTCTGAGTGCTAGAAGTGCACGTGGGCTGCCATGCTCACCTGGCATTTACATGGGCTTTGGGGATTGCAACTCAGGTCTTCACACTTCATAGCAGGCACTTTGCTCATATTTATTTACATACTCATAAATAAAAATAAGTGGGTTTTTTTTTTTGTTGTTGTTGTTGTTTTTTAAGAAAAAGTGTAAGGCTGGGCAGCGGTGGCACACACCTTTAATCCCAGCACTCGGGAGGCAGAGCCAGGTAGATCTCTGTGAGTTTGAGGCCAGCCTGGGCTACAGAGTAAGTTCCAGAACAGGCACCAAAACTACACAGAGAAACCCTGTCTTGAAAAAAAAAAGTGTACGATTGTAGTTAGGACAAGCTGGTGGTAGACCTTGAGGTGCCTGCTTATTGTCCCAGCACTTGGGAGCTTGATGCAGGAAGACTGATTTTCAGGCTACTCCAGACTACAGAGCAAAACTTTATCTCAAGAAACAAAACAAAGGTCTGGAGAGAGGGCTCAGCTGTTAAGAGCATTGGCTGCTCTTTCACAGGGCCCCGATTTGATTCCCAGCACCCACATGGCAGCTCACAACTGTAACTTCAGTTCCAGGGGACCTGACACCCTCACACAGACATGCATACAGGCAGAACACCAATGTACATAAAATAAATAACTAATGTAGGGGCTGGAGAGATGGCTCAGTGGTTAAGAGCACTGGCTTTTCTTCCAGAGGTCATGTCAATTCCCAGCACCCGCATGGTGGCCCACAATCATCTGTAGTGGGAGCTGATGCCTTCTTCTGGCATAAAGTTGTGCATGCAGACAGAGCACTCATAACATAAACTAAGTAAATAATCTTTAAAAAAATAAATAATTCATTTAAAAAATCAAAACAAAATAAAACAAGGAAACTGTATGTATGTATAAAGATTCACTTTTGGTTTTCTGTGTAGCCCAGGCTGTCCTGGAACTCACTTTGTAGGCCAGGGTAGCCTAAAACTCAGGTATCCACCTGCCTCTGCCTTCTGAGTACAGAGATTAAAGGTGTAGTGTAGCTGGAAATTTTCCTGTGTCCTGCCTGGTCCTGCAACCACTCAGACCCAAATAAACACACAGAGGCTTATATTATTTTCAAACTATATGGCCTCATGGCTCAGGCTTCTCACTACCTAGCTCTTACATCTTAAATTAACCCATTTCTTATTTTATTTTTATCTTTTTCAGTTTTTTGAGAAAAGGTTTCTCTGTGTAGTTTTGGTGCCTGTCCTGGATCTCATTCTGTAGACCAGGCTGGCCTCAAACTCACAGAGATCCTCCTAGCTCTGTCTCCCGAGAGCTGGGACTAAAGATGTGCCTCACCATTTCTATAAATCTATACTTTGCCACGTGGCTTGTGGCTTACTGGTACTTTACATCTTGCTTCTTACGGCTGTGGCTGGCAGCATCTCTTCTGTTCTGCCCTTCTCTCTAGTTGGAATGTCCCGCCTAACCTTATTCTGCCTCACCACTGGCCAAACAGCTTTATTTATCAACCAATCAGAGCAACACACATTCACAGCATACAGAACGACATTCCACAGCAGTGTGGAATACTGAAATTAAAGGCATGGACCATCATGTCTGGCTAAGTTTAAAAATTTTAGTTTAAGCCCAGTGGTGGTAGCTCATGCCTTTAATTCCAGCACTCAGCAGAAGCAGGAGAATCTCTGAGTTTGAGGCTAGTCTGGTCTACAGAGCGAGTTCCAGGATAGCCAGGGCAACACAGGGAAACCCTCTCTAAAAAACAAACAAATGAAAAAGCCCAAAAACAAAAAAAGAAATTTTAGTTTGCAGAAATGTTTAGTCTTTTTGTGTGTGTAACTGTATATAAAAATAAATACATTTTTTACATAAATGAAACTTCTTTCATGTCTCATCACGCATATCAACAACTTACTACCTTCCAGTTGTCAGTCATAGTCAGAAGTTTTCTCATGTGTACACAGGTAATGTGAGCGTCTTTGTAACAGAACTGTGCACAGTGCTGACAATTGCATTACAGTAGATTGAATCTCAGAGGACTGACTGCTCAAAAAGTACATGCTTTCCTAGAATCTTGGTGAAATTTCTAAGCTACTTTCCAAAAAAATTAAACCAATTCCTAGAGGGTAACCAGCTTGGCAGCCTTATGAAATAAAACAAGAAAATAAACAAAGCCTGGATAATAAATGTGATTTTTGCATTTTTAGGCAATTCTGTCTTGAACTAAATGGACTTGCTGTCAAACTTCAGGTAATTTTTGTTATTGTTAGAACTATAGTTTCAAGTTCTGATTTTTGAAAGTAATTTCGTATTGCTTAGATTTACCCAAAGTTTCTAACTATTTTTTTTACCTTTTATATAGAAATGTAGTAACCCAAATGACAAATCCTTTCATTATTCTACATATTAAACAACACAATTATTTTTAACAGAGTGAATGCCATCCAGATACGTGTACTCAAATGACAGCAACTGAACAGTGGATTTTTCTTTGTGCAGCTCATAAAACTCCAAAAGAGGTGAGGATTGGGAGGTTTTAGTACCTGGTCACTTGACACCACCGCTCTGGGCCTGAGGTGAGGCCAGAGCTCTCAGAAGGGAGCATTTGGTGAAGCAAGTCTGCTTACATGGCGTCTGAGAACAGAGAGTAAGGGGCCAGGGTCCCAGCATTCCCTTCAAGGACCCTGCCCCATGGCTGCTTCCTCCATCTAGGCCCCACCTCCAAAGTTTCTACCACTCCCCTGAGAGACCATATGGGAACCAAACCTTCAACCGATGAGCCTTTGGGGGACATTTCATATCCATATTGGGACAGAGACATTGTAGAATACAGTGGACATAGTTGTATAATTTTATGAGTATATGTAACACTGCTGAATTTAATATGTGTATGCAGGTGTGTACGTGTGTCTGTGGAAACCAGAGGATGCTATAACCCTACTTCTACGAGGCAGGGTCTCTTGAACCTGGAGCTAGGCTGGCAACCAGCAAGCCCCAGAGATCCTCTTTCTCTTCCCTCCCCCCCTCCCCTCCCCACTTCCCTCCCCCTTGCCCCCCAAACAATACTTAGGTTCTAGGTATCTGGTCATGTTGGCATTTTACCTGGGTGCTTGGGATTCGAACTCAGGTCCTCATACTTACACTTAGCCACTGATCATCTCCCCAGACATCCAGAACTACTGACCATAATTAAAAAATATATTTATTCATTTGTGTGTGTGTGTGTGTGTGTGTATATGTGTGTACCTGTCTGGAGATCAGACTTCTCTCTGTATGTTAACTATAACCCATGTAAGTTACTGATCATTCAAAGCCTCTGGTTCTCCAGTTCTGCTGAGCACTAGAGTAGATAATCCAGTGTTCTTCTGTTCCTAAATGTGTTCATTAGGTTCAGTGTTGGGAATGAAATTGGGAAAGTAGTTAATTTGTCTTCTAGAAGCCTGACAATATAATTCACCAATAACCAAGCTTTTTTATTTTTTTAATTTTTATTTTTTTTAGACAGAAACTGCTTTTTCTGTGTATCCTAGCCTTGGCTGTCCTGGAACTTACTCTGTAGACCAGGCTGGCCTCGAACACACAGAGATCTGCCTGCCTCTGCCTCCCAAGTGCTGTATTTCATTCTGAAATCAGAAGGGGCTTTTTCTTTTTTGGTTTTTCAAGGCAGGGTTTCTCTGTGTAGCAGCCCTGGCTGTCCTGGAAGAGAGGTAGGAGACAATAGAGTGTAAGCAGGTGTAGTGGAGGGCGTTCACAGAGGCTGAAAGCATGAGAGCCCAGGCCCAGTAAATGGCTTAATACCTTGATGAGAGACCGTGGGAACTGGAGGCTTGAATTTGGTGAGAAGAAACGGAACACTGGAAATTCATCTCTGAGGGGCATTTTCTTACCTGCTCCCTTCCTGCTGTTTCTGTGATTCCTGGCTGCCATGAGGTGATGGTCCTCTGTACCCAGTCTTCCCACCATAGTGAGCTAGAAGCAACCCTCCTTTATATTGCTTCTTCAGGAATTTGGTTACAATAGGAAGGAAGCTAGAATATAGACATAATAAAAGAGGAGACCTCTTGGTTAATGCATTAAAATTGTCTCTTTTCTAGTGTCCTGCTATAGATTACACAAGACACACGCTTGATGGTGCTGCATGTCTTCTGAATAGCAATAAATATTTTCCCAGCAGGTAATCAAAACTTTTAAACATGATATTGAGCTTTTGGGGTTTCGTTTACAAGATTGAGGTTTGAAAATAGTGTTTTGGTTATAATTTTTTATAAGTGTAAGTTGACTTGCTCCGATTATTTTGAGTTTGCAGTGAAGGTTGTGGTTAAATGTCAGGCCTTGTTTCCCAGCGCTCAGAGAGCAGTCTAGTCAGTGCTGGTCCCTGCTGCTGCTGCGTGCTGTTCCTTCTCCAGGCCTCTGCACCAGCGGTTGGATGAGCTCTGAGAGATCAAGAGCAGACTTTCTTAAGGGAGGCTGCTTGTTTTTGCTTATTTTCGCCTGTAGCAGTTTTAAGCAAAGTTTTAACATATATTTAATTACACATAATAATGGACATATTATGACATACAAGTAGAGCATGTGTTTTATTATATACGTAATATATTTTGATGCTCTTCACTCCATGCCCCTCTCTTCTCTCGTCCCTTTTTTCCCCAACCATCCCCCCTCTCTTTCCTTGCTTTCTTCTCCCTCTCTCCTCATTTCTCTCCCTCTCCCTCTATTGCCCCTGCCCCCCCTCCTGTGTGTCCCCCAGAGAGTTTCATTAGGGATGTGGAGGAGTGTGTTTACAAGAGCATGTGCACTTTACCCTAGTGTGTTCTCCCCAACAACAATCAACAGAGTGGATGGGGTTCTCAGGGAGGCGTGGGGCTTCCCTCCTCCATTACGACAGGGAGCCACAGAGCTGTGAGTTCGAGAGTGCATCGCCCACCGCACGCCTGGAGTCAGCATCTGCACCTCTCCTCCTTCCTCTGACTTGTATTACTACTTCCCCTCCGCCATAGTCCCTGAGCTTTGAGGGGGCGGTGAGAGAGGCACCACTTATGACTGAGCAATCAGCAGTCATTTCTTCTCAGTGTTCTGACCACTGTGAGTCTCTAGTTACTCCTGAGTTCTGCAAAACCAGATTTGGCAGTATAAACGGTTATTTAGAAGGCAACTTGACAGGCATATCATATCATGCCTTGTTTTGTAGATTTTTCTAAGATCTGGGGGGAAACTGCGTGTATTGTGTTACTGGTGAGGTTATGAGTTCTCCCTTCCCCCACTTTTTAAAAACTGAAAATGGATTTTTTTCTCCCATGGTTTATGAGTTCTTAAAAAAATTATTGTTTTTGAGACTTGAGTCCCACTCTATAGCCTTGGGTGGCATCCAACTCACTCTGTAGATCAGGCTGACCTTGAACTCACAGATCCTCCTGCTTCTTTCTCCCCAGTCCTGGGACTAAAGACATGTGCAACCATACCCAGCATGACTGGTGTTTTGAGACAGGGTTTGTGTAGCCCAGGCTAGCCTTGAACTAGCCTAAGCTGTTCTTGGTTCATCCTGCCAATTCTTGTAAGGACTGGGGGTTACAAGTGTCTGCACCATGCCTGGCTCATGCTTGGTCTTTTATTCTACTAAGGAATTGGGTATTTGTTACAAAGTAGACGGAATTCGAGTTTTTTCCCCCTTTAAAATATGATTAGCTGCAAAAACCTCATCTAAAATATGGGGGAGTAAAAAAACACAGAAAACATCTGATTTTTCTCTATCATATTTTAAAAGAGAATTAGAAATATGCATATTTTGATTTTTAAAAATACAAAGGAAGCAAAAGCAGGTTCTATGGATAAAATAATGAGTCCTCTTAGTAGTTCAATTACCTGCATTAGACAAAATATTAATAGTGTAGTGTAAAATATTTTTTAAAGTCTGGTTGTTTTGGGTTTGTTTTAGTAAGTTTTGAGGTGTCAATGATGCGTTTTAAGTGCGTTATCCTTTAACAACGTTTCAGAAGTGTAACCCTGCGTTTAACTAAGGTGCTGTGGCTGAGTGGAGAGGGCACTGGCCAGGACCAAGGAGCGGCCCGCTCTTCCCACTTACAGCGCTGTAGCCTTGGTCCAGACACTCTTCTCTCTGGGTGTTGGTCTCCACACGTGGGAATTGAGAAGATTGGACTATATATGTCTAACGTTTTATTCAGCCTGTGAACTTCTGGTTTCTCTTCTCTTTTTAGGGTTAGCATAAAAGAATCATCTGTAGCAAAACTAGGGTCAGTGTGCCGTAGGATTTATAGAATATTTTCACATGCCTATTTTCATCACCGGCAGATATTTGATGAATATGAAGTAAGTATAAATCTTAGCTTGCTTTACATTGCTGCAATAAAGATCATGACCAAAAGCAACTTGAATAGGAAAAGGTTTAGTTCTGCTTACAACTCTTGGGTTACATTTCATCCCTGAGGGAACTCACGGGGTGGGGGTGGGGTAGGAGGGGGACTGGAGCAGAGGCCATGGAGGAACACGGCTTATTGGCTTGCTCCTCATGGCTTGCTCTGCCTGCTTTCTTTCTCTTTATTTATTTCTTTTGGTTTGAGACAGGGTTTCACTGTGTAGCCTTGGATGTGCTGGAACTCTCTCTGTAGTCCAGGCTGGCCTCAAACTCACAAAGATCTGCCTGCCTCTGTCTCCTGAGCGCTAAGATCAAAGGTGTGCCCACCACGCCTTACGCTGCTTGTTTGTTGTTTTGGGACTGTATATAGCCTTGACTGACATGGAGCTCGTTATGTAGGCCAGGATGGCTTTGAATTCTTAGAAATCCCAAGGGCTGGGATTTGTGCACATAAATCAAGGGAAAAAAAAAAAAAATATATATATATATATATATATATATATATATACATACACATGCGCCACAGGCCTGCCTATAGGCTAATCTGGTGGGGCATTTTCTCAGTTGAGGTTCCCTCTTCAAAAATGACCCTAGCGCCGGGCGGTGGTGGCGCACGCCTTTAATCCCAGCACTCGGGAGGCAGAGGCAGGCGGATCTCTCTGAGTTCGAGGCCAGCCTGGGCTACCAAGTGAGTTCCAGGAAAGGCGCAAAGCTACACAGAGAAACCCTGTCTCGAAAAAAAAAAAAAAAATTACCCTAGCTTGGGTCAAGTTGACCGAAAACTAACCAGCAGCACAGTATGTCAGTAATTATCTTAATACATTCTTGTCAAGACGATGATAGTGTATTGGTACTATTTCTAGCCTTTTGTTTTTTGATAGTAAAATGTCTTTTTTCTTTTTCTTTCTACAGAATGAAACATTTTTATGTCATCGGTTTACTAAATTTGTGATGAAATATAATTTGATGTCAAAGGATAACCTGATTGTACCAATTTTAGAAGAGGAAGTTCAGAATTCAGTTTCTGGAGAAAGTGAAGCATGAAGGGAGTTGTGTAGAACAATGTACTGATCACATAATTAACAATTATGTACTGTATATATATCATTTTAGACACGTCAATCATGTATCCATAGTATAGCTTATTTGTTTAGGATAGGTTTTTGTATGCTATGTGTTGCCTTTTAAAATGGGAAATACATTTTAAGTTATTCATGAGCTGTATATTCACTGGTGTGGCACTCATGGTTTTTAAATAAGTTTAGTATTATCTGTTTATAATGCTTGTTAATAAAAGAATTTACAGTTTGGTAAAATTGCTGCTAAACAATCATTGGATCACAATCCTTTCAAATCTATAAGAGTGAGCTTGGGTTTCACACAAGCCATTTACTAAAGAGATATTTTCTTTAGTTTCACCCTGTAAGTTTTGATATTTTAGAAAATTCAGTAGTATTCCATCTGTACTGCTAACTTTTCCAAAATGAGATAAAAGTGTTTAAAAGGTCTATTTATAATTTTTGATATGCATAACCAATTATGTATATGTTCAGAGAAATGCAAGGAGGTGTTAGTAATACTTAAATAATCTCACTCTGCTACATAAAGTATATTCTAGGTCAGTGTACTTGGAAACATTATCTTTTTTTGTGACAGTAGATTGTCGAATAGCTGGTGATGATGATAAGGCACATACATGATGTTCCCATGGACACCTGCCCCTGGTGATAATAAGGCACATACATGATGTTCCCATGGTTACCTACCCCTTCTTGTTTCCCTTGGTCCTTTCCCTAAACTATATTAGTCAAGACATTTATTTACCAACCTATGGTTAGTGGTGGCTTCTCCCTATTTATATTCGTATTAATTGCTTACAGAGCATACCTCATACTAGCAAGTGACGTTACACTACAGGAAGTCTGTACTGCAGAGGCTCCTGCCTACCTTTGTTTTGGGAAATTGTTGTAACTACTTAGAAAATAGTCCTGAATATAGTTTGGTTCTTCCTGTTAGTAATATTAATCTTTTCATCTAACTCTAGGCAGCATTAAATACATATGGAAAAGAGTGTATTTATTTTATTCTCCCTCCAGAAGCTTATTGTTTGAACTATATGCACATATAAGATTATTTATAATAATTCACAGGTTCCAGTGGTGTTGATGAATTGTCATACTTTTTGATTTCTTCTGTCTTAAAAATTTAAGTGCAGATTTAGTGCAACGTATTTGGTGAAGTTCTCCTAACATGCTGGGGTCTCAGTGCCACGCTGTGATGGCAGTAAGACGGGATGGGACTGGGCCTCAGTTGGGACAGTTGGAGCCAGCCATTTCTACTGACTTGACAACGAGGAACTTCTTTTTTTAAGTTATTTTCAAATGAAATTGAAAAATGCATTCATCTTGTTTGTTTTTCTAGTTATTTGAAGAAATGGTTTATATTATGAGACAAGTGTGCACAGAACAGTGTGGGAAATGACAGCATACTGAGAGTGTACAGTTGATGCCTGTCCCAGCCTGCCCTGTGCCTGCGGTCACGGTCACCACTGCACCGTAGTCTGCAACTGTCCTTGAAGTTTTATGTTCACAGTGACTAGAACATCGACTGAAATCAGGTGTTTATATTACTGTTACCATAACCACTGGGGTTAGTAATTTTTAAAAAAACGGGGTAAATATCTGAGAGACTGGATAAGGTCATAAATTATATGTAGCAATGTTGCTGTTCTCCAGTTGGGAGCCTCATAGTGATTTCTGTCACTTGACTATTTCTCAGTGAACATTTAAGGTAGTGACTGGGCTGTAGATCTGACTGAGTAATTGGAACACTTTGTGAATATATGGCTTAGTGTTAACAGGAAAATAAAGTATGGTTTTTTTCCTACTCATTCCCCTTCCCTGTAGTGTGTTTTGAAACTGATCATAAAAGAAAAAATAATCTCCAAAAGCGTCAGTTTGTAGTCTTGCTTTTGTGTTCATTTGGACACTCACTATTATTGCACTGTTGATTATTACAGTAGGTAAGATCTCAGGGAAACAGCTGTGTTTTGATACTGTTTGCATAATTTTGAAAATGCACATGTACATGAGTAGTATTTTTAAAGTGGCTAGATCCAGAGTGGTGGGGCCCGTTTTTAATCCCAGCATTTAGGTGGCAGAGGCAGGTAGGTTTCTGAGCTTAAGGTCAGCCTGGGTTACATGAGATCCTGTCTCAAAAATACAGGTCTGGAGAGGTGGCTGCTTTCCCAGAGGACCTGGGTTCAGTTCCCAGCACCCACATGGCAGCTTACAACTGTCTCTAACTCCAGTTCCAGGGGATCCGATGCCCTCACACAGGTGACCTGTAGGGAAACATCAATGCAAATAAATAAATCGTTAAAAACAAGAATACAGGGCTGGTAGGATAGCTGAGCTGGTAAAAGTGATTGCTGCCAAGCCTGGTGACCTGTTGGGTTCCCAGAACCCGGGTGTATGAAGGAGAGATCCAGCTCCTGCAAGTTGTCCTCAAACCTCAGTGCTTGCCATGGTGTACGTGCACCTATATCCCCCAACGCAAGTTTTTAAAAAGTAAATGATTAATGAAGCTAAGTAAATGTCAGAAAGAAAGAAAAGTTAGGATGGGAGGGGAGGCGGAGGAGATGGCTCAGTGGGTAAAGGATCTTCTGCCGGCCTCATGGCCTCGATTCAGTCCCCAGAAGCCACATGTTAGGCAGTAGGAGAAAACGGACTCCTGTGGGTTGTTCTCCACCTTCTACAGACGTTGGCATGGGCTAGCCCCAAAATAAATGAAAGGAAATGTAAACTTTTGAAAAGATTATTGAGGAGATAGCTGAGTTGATAAAATACCACGCCTTGCAACCGTGAGGACGGGCGTTGGGTCCCCTGCACACATGGTATGCTTGCAATCCTCTAGTGGAGGAGGTAGAACAGACACAGCATGGGCTTGCTGGCAGGTGACGCCTACAAACAGCACCCCCCCCCCCCCCCCCACACACACACACACACTGAAGTGCTGCTGAGGAACATTACTGAGATGTCCTCTGGCCTTCATGTGCACACACAAGGTTATCAAGCCTGGCTCTGGCAAACATGGATCTTACAAAGAAGTACAAAGTCACGGTTACGTGTGCAAGGGAAGTCAGGCTCGTTGTGTTTTAATGATCTATGTAGAGATCCCGAAGGTTGGATTCTCCTGCTGGGTATGATGGCTCAATGCCTCTAATGTTGAAACTTGAGAAGCTGAGGCAGGAAGGTAGCTGAAAATCCAAGTCCAACCTGGGCTATATATAGTGTGCTCTAGGCCAGCCCGGCTTACAGAGTGAGAAAAGAAGCTTTGTATATTCTTTTTATATAGACCATATTGATGGGGCAGGAGAGAGTTAGGAAAAAACACTTGTTCTTGAAGAGGACCCAAGTTGATTCCCAGCACCCATTTAGCTCAAAAGCATCCAGAGTTCCATTCTGAGGGGTCTGAGCCCTCTTCCAATCTGCACACGGTGCACATACATACATGCAGGCAAAACAGGCATAAGAAAGACAACTCACCCTCCCTCCTCTGGGAAAGCCGCTCGTTTAACCATTTGTGTTCCCATAAGCAGCACACACTTGGGTGTGTCCATTTTGTTTTAACTGGCTAGAACAGTTTCTTGGTTAAATTATTTGGAGGGTGGGGTGGAGTTGGAGAATGATTTCATGTAGCCCAGGCTGGCCTTGAGTTCCTTTCGTCTGCCCTCCACCTCCCACGTGCTGGGATTGTATGACAGCACTATTTAGCAATTCCATGTTTCTTTCTCCTATTCTCAGTTCTCTCTCTCTCTCTCTCTCTCTCTCTCTCTCTCTCTCTCTCTCTCTCTTTTTGAAATGGTCTCTAGCCCTGGCAGTCTTGGAACTTGCTATTTAGACCACACTGGCTTTGAACTTACAGAGATCTGTCTGCCTCTGCCTCCAAGTGCTGGGATGAGGGGCTTACACCACCATGCCCAGCTTTGTCAGTTAAATTCTTAGTGACTTAACATTTTAATGTCTAAATAGAAGTAGAAATCCATGATTGTATTGCTATTGACTGTTGTCACATACACAGCTGCTCCCCTTTTGCTTTCTGACCCAAAGTCAGCATGCCTAGTCTGCATTGTAACCCAGCCAGATGCAGGTCTGAACTCCAGCCTGGTCCGTGGGCATTCCCAGACACTGAGAGCAACATTTAAGTTACTTCCCAAAATGGTGAAAGGAATCAGCCACATCCTGCAAACTGTCAGTGGAGCTTGATAACTTGACTCTCAGCTGTAGACAGACCTCAGTGGGGCATCCATTCTTTCTTGACCTCTGTCCAGAGGACTGACTGCATGCAGTCTCTTTCCATAAGAAATGCTGTGGACTGATGGGTGGTGGTGTTTTTTGTTTTGTTTTTTTCCTCTTTACTTTGTGGGGCCTGCCACCCAGCTCCCGGATAATCACACAGAGACTCTTTTTTATGAATGCCTGGCCTTAGCTTGACTTGTTTCTAATAAGCTTTTCTTAAATTATAGCATCTACCTTTTGCCTCTGGGCCTTTACCTTTTCTATTTCTGTATATCTTTCTTTACTTCTTATTCTGTGGCTTGCTGTGTAGCTGGGTGGCTGGCCCCTGGCCTCCTCCTCCCCACTCCCTCCCCCCCATCTTCTCTCCCCAGATTTCTCCTCCTATTTAGCGTCTCTGCCTACCAGCCCTGCCTATTCTTTCTCCTGCCTAGCTATTGGCCATTCAGCTCTTTATTAGACCAGTTAGGTGTTTTAGACAGGCACAGTAACACAGCTTCACAGAGTTTAACAAATGCAACAAAAAAGAATGCAACACATCTTTGCATCATTAAACAAATGTTCCAGAGCATAAAAAAAAAAATCTAACAAGTCTTCAATTAATATTCCACAACAGGTGGGCCTGGCATTGTGGAATCCCAACTGACCCCAGCTCAGAACAGTTTGGGCATTCCCAGTTCAGTGAGAAGAAACACTTAAACTTCAAAGTCTATCTTGTATAATATTAAAGGGACCAGCCTTAATATTATACATCCCAGGGGCTCAGGAGAGAGAACTACTAACGGTGAGGACTATTATCAGAAAATATAATCTCAGCACACCGAGTTCTATAGTCCACTTGCTTTAATTCCTCTGGCATAACATCCTTTATACACAGCTTCAGTTCTGTTCTCATGTCTAGCTCCTTTCTTGCCTGATTTCTCTCTATATTTATCTACTGTCCCCTCTAGGTTCTATCTTTAATTCCTTCATCTAGTTCTGTCCCTTCTAGGTTCTCATCTATCTGGTTCTTTCCCCTATCAGCTCCTCTCTCGTCTCCTCTCTCATCTGGTTCTTCCTCATCTTGTTCTTCCCCATCTGGCTCTTCCTCATCTTCCATCTTGTCCCTCTTGTCCTCTCTTTTAGCCCTTCAATCTAGTTCTTCCCCATCTCAGTTCGTTCCTCTCAAGTTCTTACCCATATAGTTCTTCCATTCTCTTTTCTCTTCTCCTCTGCCCCTGCCTCCTGGAAGTCTCGGTATATAAAGGGAGGGTCCGAGCTAAATTGTGTAAAGCTATTACTTAACGTCCACCTCTCCTAGGCGGTGTCTCCTTGTAGAATTTACCATAAATCAGAAGACTTGCATGTGGGCTGTTATCCTTGTTAGTCCACCTGGGACTAACAATGGGCGCCCACCTGGGTGGTGTTTCCTGTAGTCCTTGAAAGTGACCAAGGGAGATAATCTGATTCCAGAGAAAGCCTTTCCTGAGGCTGTTCTCCAAATACCTGGAATGTGTATGTCCAGAGAGTGATCAGTCTACACTGTTAGCCCTTCT